ATGTATGTATGTATTTGTGTCTGTATTTGCCTGTATCTATGTATGTATGTATGTATTTATGTGTATTTGCATACATAACATGGTACACGGGTGCCCGGGTGCCTTTGCATATGCATGTATGTACACAGATGGACACACATCAACAGAAATATTGGCAGGTGCATGGACACGAACAGATTTACACGCGTCAGACACAGATAGACAGACAGACAGTCAGATAGACAGACCGACGAACGGACGGACGGACGGACGGATCTCAGTGCCCACCAGGTAGGGCCCTGCTCAGCCCAATACGCAAGCCCCGGAGGTCAGCCAGCTCTGGGGAATGCAGAGAGATTTCAGCGACGAGCTTCCCGCAGGAGACGGAGCTGGAACCCCACATGTGGTTTAGGGGTTTGGCTAAAATTGCCGTGCAAGACTCCTAGTTGGCGATTCGGACTGGAGCGTACCTGAATGACATGAACTGGGCGTGATCTAGCTTGATCCTTGCTATTTTGTGGGTGGCTACTTGCGGGGATGGGGCACCCGCTGTTGCAGGTGACCCCAGTGTCGGTAGCAAAGGGATACACGTCGTCTCAGGATATACAAGTTCATAGGAGCTGGAACCCACTGTGAACTGAGGCGTAAGTTCCTCCGCGTGCGTCGGTGCGGTATCAGTTCGAGTTCTGGCGTGTTGAAACGGCTAGGCTGCTCGACTGCCCCAGGCCGAGCCCGGTGAGCACACCTGGATGTTCTTCCTGCTGGCTCCAAAGTGGTTTGGTTGCAACGGTTTGGATATCTGATCCCACTATGGAACTTTATGCCTTAGAGCCCGGAAGCTGACAATTTCTGACAAAGTCTGGCAAGGTGGGTCAAGATGCGGCCCACCGACGCTTACTACACGGTGCATCCCAGGTCGCAGGCCTGCACGTCTGGCGTTTGCAGTTTGGGCTGTCGCGAAGACACTGCAGTAGTAGTAGTAGTAGTAGTAGTAGAAGAAGTAGTCAATATAGTGGTACAACAAATGCTGCTGCTGCTGCTACTACTACTACTCCTCCTCCTCCTGCTGCTGCTGCTGCTACTACTACTAATACAACTACTACTACGCCTTTGCCGATGCCTACGCCTACGACTAGTCGATGACGAAGACGCCTGCTGCTACTACTACGCCGA